GTACATGCGAGGCTGGCAACAAACTGGATTCATGCTCATGTCAGTTTAATGTTGGTTAAAAGTGATGCAGCTTAACTTAGTCCTCGCTTACTCAAACTGGCTCTAGAAAAAATTTCGGTACTGGTTGCTGCCCCACTCCAGCTGGAGCCCTGAAGATAAAGGGGAGGGGAGAATACTTTTTCCTGAGAAGAGTTTTCCCATTTCTACATGAACCTTTCTGTGGTCTGTTCTGCTAAGAAATTACTTGTAGATGATTTGTAATTTGTAGATGATTTGTAATAGAACTTGGTGGTGGTGGAAAGTGCCGTCAAGTTGCAGCTGACTTATGGTGACCTCATAGAGTGGTCTCCCATCCAAATACTAGCCTAGGCCATCTGGGTCAGAGCTAGAACGCAGGAATTTAGTCCCACATTCAAAGTGTTGAGGAGTTCTGGTTTTGTGGGTTCATCCTTTCCTGGGTTTATTACATTGGATACCTTTTCTGTAAAGTAAGTAAAAGGTAAAGGTTCCCTTGCTCAAAAACCAGTCGAGTCCGACTCTAGGGGTGCGGTGCTCATCTCCGTTTCCAAGCCGAAGAGCCAGCGCTGTCCGAAGACGTTTCCGTGGTCATGTGGCCGGCATGACTAAACACCAAGGTGCAGGGAACACTGTTACCTTCCCACTGAAGTGGTACCTATTTATCTACTTGCAATTTCTTGCTTTCGAACTGCTAGGTTGGCAGGAGCTGGAACTAGAGATGGGAGGTCACTCTATCATGTGGCAACTCGGGTCTCGAACTGCTGAACTACCGACCTTCCACAGCCTGCAGTTCAGCGTCTTAACCACTTGAGCCACTGCAGCCCCATTTCCGTAAAGTGTTGGCTGCTTTTTTCTGTTGTCATAGTCTACATTTGAAAGTGGGTGGCGTTGCCGAATTATCTGGTATTTTAATGGTAAGAGTGCTACAAAATGCAAGCCTTTAATATTTCTGCCAGTAGTGTGTTTCCTTATCTAGTGGTGCTACACTACAGTGCCCTCTGCTGATGGAATCTTTAAAGAAGTGTGAATTTCTTAAAATCCGTAACTAAATTGTATAATTTTATCGTTTTCTGCCTTCTTCATGAAAGTACACAAGGAAGTAACATGCATACACAGAAATTCTGAAAGAATGCTCTTATCAAATATTGAAAGAAGAAATATAGCCACATTTACAGACTTGACATCTGTTTTATGTAAAATTAATTTTGTATGTGTTTTATTTATAGATCATATGATCATTACAGTGGCATACATGTGTATCATTGCATCATAATATATTGCATATAACACATATACGTTTGTGTGGGGATTGTATGAAGTGACTCCAGGACTCTTTGAAATGTGTGATTTAAGGTTGTTTCTGTAAACTGTCCCGCTGACGTTACAATGGGACATTTCAGTCATGTCTTAGCTTCCTTATTCTGTTTTGGAGCAAGAGTTTTGTAGGTGTATTAGCATGAGAATTGAAGTAGGGTGGTCACTTGGTAAAAGGACCTTTCACAAAGTGAGTTAACCATCAGTTACGCAAAGCATTCTTTTGTGGGTAAGCCATTATCCTGCACTGATGGAACTTGGATGGCTCTTAAAATATCATCAACATCTTCTTCTTCTTCTTCTCAACAACAATAACAACAATAACAAAAAAGTAGATTTAAGCCACCCTTCCCTGGAGGGACCAAGCTCAGGGCAGTGTACAACATATCATATGAACATTATTAAAAACAGTTAAAACCAATAAAAACACAGTCGTACCAAAAGATGATGTTAAAATTTCCTGATGGTGTCACTGTCCTCACAGGGAGGCAGGGGGTGGGAGTGCCGGAAAAGATGGAACTGTTGCTGCCCTCAACCAAATGCCTGGCAGAACATCTCTGCCTTACAAGCCCTGTGGAACTGTATCAGGTCCTGCAGGGCACAGATGTTATTTGGCAGAGAGTTCCACCAGGTTGGAGACAGGGCAGAAAACACCCTGGCTCTGGTTGAGGACAGCTGGATAGCTCTCAGGCCAGGGGACCACCAGCAGATTTTGATCTGTTGAGTGCAGCGCTCTCCTGGGGATATATCAGGAGAGGCAGTCCTGAAGATACATAGTTCCTGGAGCATTAAGGTCTTAAAGGTCAATATCGGAACCTTGAACTTGATCTGGTACTCCACTGAAAGCCAGTGCAACTCACGCAGTACAAGGTGGATGTGTGCTGTATGCGGAGTCCCCATGAGGACCTGTGCAGCTGCATTCTGTGCCAACCTCGAGTTTCCAGGTCAACCTCGAGGGAATCTTTATTTCTTAATCTGTAATGATTGTATTTAGTGATAGTAAGCAAATTTGAAAAATGACTCAAATTCAGAATGGAATTCATGAAGTAAACTGCCAACTGTTCTACAGTCTCTGCATGGATGAGACAGTGGTTTAAGACAGCACGTAATGTTTTGGGCCAATCCAATTCTGTATAAGAGAGGAGGATTCCACTTAAGCCTAATGAAGCCAGACTGCTGGCACACTCTCCAAAAGCCCCCCCCACACACACACACCTGGAGAAAGCTGAAAGGAGTTAGAGAGCATATGGTTCAAGATTTCATCGCTGAGGCCTAATGGATTAGCTGGACTGGGGATGGCCTCGACAGTGCTAATGTATCAGAAAATGACACTGTTTAAGGAGACCAAAGGGCTAAGAGTGCTTGGAGAAGGAAACAGTGTATATAAGTGATTATGTGCATGGATGTTTTTTGTTGATCAAATAATATCAGTAGCAAATGCTGTTTATGTCAATGGTCTTTAATTGTTCCACAACTGGGACCTGCCTTTAACCCCAAGCTGAAGTGTGGAATCCAGAGAGCAGCAAGCACATGGCAGGATCTCATATAACTTCACAGTCATGTGAGAGGAAGATGAGGAGTCTGTGTTTCTCTGAAACTGCCTGTGCTAAAAAGTTATCCTCTGCTGCTGAGTGACCTCATCTTACTGTCCTACTACTGCTTCTCTAGGGTTCCCATTCCCCCAACTGACATTCCCAGGTGACTTCCTGTAAAACTGGAAATGCAGGCTCCGATGTGATGATGTCACTCGGAAGTGACGTCATCATGTTGGGGGTGACGTTCTGTTTTGTGGGCAAAACTCTATGGTTTGAAGCCAAATTTACCATAGAATTTTGCCCCAAAACCAGAGCATTGCCTCCAATGTCCCCGATGCGATGATGTCACTTCCAGGTGACATCATCGTGTCGGGGCCTGCATGTCCAATTTTACCAGAAGTTGCTCGATATCACTTCTGGTCTCCTGGAAGGACGCTGGGAGGCCCCTGCTGGCCAGGTAAGTGGACCTATGCTTCTCTCAGTGTGTGAGTAAGAAGTAACAGGAGATGTGGCACCCTTACTCTCTGCCCATAAGCACTAGCAGCAGGTCTTTCCAGAAAAGCACCCCCCTTCCCAAAAATTCCAGCTTTATAGGGGCTCCTGACTTACCTGAGGGTTCCAACCATGAGCTGTATATTGCTAGTCTAAGTGACTTTGAGTTATTAAAAGGGTTCATACATTTTCCTCTCTTCATTTTTTCCAGCAGAAAGTAGATGAATTTCTAAATGTGTACTACTTGACTCCAGAGAATGCCGGAAAAGAAAATACCTGGGACATCCAAACATATGTTCATTTTCCTGATGGTCAAGGCCTAATGTTCACTCTTAAACCAGAAGACAGAATAGAGGATGTTTTGGCTTTGGCTTGCAAGGTACACAATTCTGCACTTTAATATAGCTTGTTAATCACATTTACAGAAGTTGGATCCTAGAGTGGATGTTTCATGCCTTCTTCTTTCTCAAAAACATGGTGCTTGTGGGAACATGGACAGATGCAGTGGTGAAGGAAAAGTGGGTGAAATTGCCTTTCCTGCCTCTTATTCCAGTCAAATCTCTTCTGACAGAGCCAGCCTTCTTGCAAGGGAGGAATGGATTCATAAAATCCAGCCTTTGATCTTTAAAGAGAGCTGTGGAAAGGGTAATGTTGTAGAAATGGGTAAAGGAAGTGTGACATGTAATCATAGCATCTCTCTCATTCTTTGAAAACCAAGCAAAAGAGCAATGCTATCGCTTAGATCTTAAATCTTATGCGTTTCAAATTATGAATTGACTCCATCCAGTATAATGGACATGAAGTAAATAAACACAACATGAGCTTGGATCTCAGGGTTGATTTCTGTGGATGGAACAGGTTTCCAGCCACAGGGCATGACTTCCCTGCCTCCCCCCGTCCATGGAAATTGCTAGCAGGATTTAAAATTTGAAGATCTTCCGAAAGTACTTTAATAGCTAAATTGATTAGCAAGAACACTGTCACTCTCTCCATAACTGATTATGTGTACAGGAAGCATATAATAAAATGGCTTTGACCTAGTATGTGGGAACACAACCATAAATCTTACTGATTTCACAGAATAACCAAATTTCTAGAGGTTTACATAAATCTTCATTCTGACCAAAAAGCTGTGACTTGCCTGAAGAGTCTGGGGTGCAGTCAAGCCCAAACTGAGCTGAATTAAGTGAACATCTACTAGTTAAGGGTGATCAGCTTTTTGATGGTCCTGGGCTGACAGAGGGAAAGAACATGGCACGAGGAGAAGGGATTAGGTCCAGGCAGTGAAGTTTGGTCACATCTGATGGTAGATGTTCTTCACCAATATTGGTAGCTTTCATTGAAATCAGGAGGCCCAGTCTTATAATTCCTGCACTTTCACTCTAGCAAGTAAGGTAGGTTGGCTTCCTCTTGAGCAAGCCCCCATTCCTTTAATAACTGAACAGACTGGTTAGATATTTGTGCCAGCTTGCCCATTATCTTGTGGGGACTGTGTATACATGCTTAGGGTTACGTAATATTTTTTCCGTGCATCACGTTACCAAATTGATGATCCTTCTGCTCAGCACAGTATGAAAATACACTGTAGTGCCTGTTGTGGTTTCCAGTGTTAAAATCTACAGTAGAATTTGGTGGAAAGTGCTGTCAAGCCACAGCAGACTTATGGCAGCCCCACAGGGTTTCCAAGGCAAGAGCTGGTTTGCCATTGCCTGCCTCTGCATAGCAACCCTGGACATCCTTGATGGCCTGTTATCAAAGTACTAACCAGGGCTGACCCTGTTTAACTTCTGAGATTTGACAGAATGGGGGTAGCCTGGGCTTTCTAGGTCAGGACACCAAGTTTAGAGTTTAGTTTCTGTTAAAACAAATATTGCTCATTAACTGGAAGAAAAGAGGTATGTTTTTGTAGGCAATCCTTGCATGGCCTATAGGTGGCAGCAGAGATCTGACATATGAAGAAAAGATTTTTAGGAAAAGTATTTCTGTATGAACATTGCAAACTTCAAGTGACCCAGAAGTATTTGTATAAGAATGTATGAAATCACAGTTGTTCCTCACTACACTTCACAAAATATCTGTTCATAAAAACAATCAAACTTTTCTTTTTGTGGCTGTCACATCATTTGATCTGAAGTTATTTTGGTTTCTTTGTTTCGATTAAAACTTCTTTCTGTTTTATCTTTCTTTCTGCTCTGTATATTTAATGCATTTTTTCCATTAGACATATCTTAATGCTGACTACTTTCTGCTACATCTTTCCTAGTTCTTTTTTCTTACATTTCCATACTTCTCTGGTGAGTGTTGGGAATACTCAATTCTTTAGCGCAATGTCGTGTTTGAAGCATGTGTACGTTGATGTTGGTGTGTGGTGCGTGGTTCAGGGCTGGTTATTAGAAGGTGAAAAGGGGCAGTGGCTGCTTAACTCCCATTAGCCTTCAGGGAATTTCAAATAGTCTGACCTTGAGTAGGTGAAGGATCTTTGCCATTACTTGCTAACACTATCTGTTTCCTGGTATAAAAACAATTTCTAAATTGGATGGGTTGGACCCCATGAAGCTGTTACATTAACCTCCTTATACTGGAGAGGTACAACCCTTAGTGAATGGAGCCCCTTGCTCTTTAGATTCTACAAACTGTTATCTTGGATCAGGTGGAATTGTTTCTAAATGGCTCATATAAATAAATGTTAAATAACCCATAGAAAATATAGATTAATATAGATTAATATATACATGGAATTGACAATAAGAACATACCCTGTTGTCCTTTTGTACAGTACATACAACCTAACTTTTATCATATAGTATGTTCTTTGGATGACGGATGGTGTTTCAAAACAGTAGTTCTTAAGAAACGCACATTCAGTCAACATAGGGTATGTCGCTATTTGTGTTGTCCTTTCATTTTCTTCATGTTATCATGATCCAGAGATTTCTTTGATACATTTCTGTGAGTTACTTTGGATTGCATCATCAAAAGTTCACCAAGGTCTCTTAAATAAAAGCTTTTCCATTGGTGTTGATAGTGTCAGCTGTAATGGCACCTGGACCAGGCTTAAGCTTTTATCTGTATTCTCTAATATATCCAGTAGTCTTGATGATGATGATAGTTGACATCTGATGAAATGTTTTGTGACAGACATTTATTTGTACCCTGTTTCATTAGCTTTTCTTCTTCTAGTTATCTGTGTCATAAATTGGAGAAATCACAATTTTACGTTTCGCTAAATATGTTGCTGAGTGCATTGTGGCTGGTAATTCTGCTGGGTGGAGAGCAAAATAAATGTCCTAATGTATGCAAGGTCTGTTTGACCCTATGTTGAGCGATTAGTCTTGAAAGTAAAATCTGTGCCACCTCAGTAGTATTCCAAATGTTTGAAGGACAAGCCCCTACAAGGCATGAAGCCAATATTGTAAGGGAAGTGTTCTCTGTTCCATTATTTAGCTTCCTGGATGTAACCACATGCTGCGAAAAGTAGGTGGTTTCATGATCTCAGAGGAAATTGGCAGTAAAAAGTGCAGTAAAAGCCAAGCCTGTACATAACGCCCTTCTCTTAACAGCCTGAGTGCACACATGCATTTTATGCATCAGATGTGAATGTAGCACTCAGCAGAAAGATGCCATCTGGGAGATCTGTAGAAATGAACGGATGCCTGTATAAGCAGAGGAAGAAGAGAACAAGTTTTAAAGTTTATTTACACATCCTACCACTCTGTTAATTTTATACACAGGAAGTAACACTATAAACCTTTGGGGGTTTTAGAAGCAATCCAAATCTGTTCTGGTATGAAAATTGTACAGCTAGGTTTATTTATTTATGGTGGCTATTTAGGAAATGACTTGTTGAAGGTTACCTTTGCGTAACTTGAAGGAATGTGTATATATGACTTCTGGACTTGTACAAATAAATTCTGAGTTCCAAAAAATTCTTTTTACCTCTTAGATTAAGCAGCTGGAACCAAGACATTATGGCTTACGGCTCAGAAGGCTTATTGATGAAAATGTTGAGCACTACGTTCCTGAAGCATATGAATACATACAAGACCAGGCAAGTGGCATGATGTAAAGATTTGAAGTTTCTTGGTCAGATCTCTTATTTGTACCCATCCTGTGTGTTATTTACAATAAACAGAATGAATAGAAAGCCCCCGAATAAACAAATATATCCTTGTATGCTTAACAATAAAAGCAGACAAATATTGACTGATACATTTTTATCCTGCCCCTCTTCCAGGGAGTATGTGATTCTCATATTGTCCTCACAACTGCCCTGTGGGAAAAGTTAGTCTAAGAGAAAGTGACTGGCCTTATGACATCCAGCAAGCTTCATGCCCAAGTGGGGATTTGAACCGGAGTTTCCTCGGTCCTAGTCCAATATTTTGAACACTACAGCTCACCAGCTCACAAGTCTTCTAAGGCTGGTTCCATTAGGCTGGATAACGCATTGGCCGTGGGCCATCCAGTAGTGGCAGCCAGTTAAGAGTGATCTTGTTCAAAACCTGTCTACCGGACTTCATTTGGGGCTTTGCTTAGAGTTAAAGGAACATAATGCCTCTAACTTGCATAACTTTGGTTATAGTTTGTTAATGTAGTTGTTGCATGACTCTTAATAACCAAAGGCTGCAGTTCTTCAGCCACTTAGCTGTCCCCTTGAAGTCAGGGGGAAATGAGAAAGGAGGCAACGGAGGGTGCAGAGCAACTGTGTTCGCAGGCATAGCCTGAGTTCTGTAGGCACAGCCGTGATGATAGCAGCAAAGCAGGCACTGCCTTAAAACCAAATACCTAAAGTAGAGGAGGAGAGACATGTTCTTCCTTAAGGAATGCATAGGGGCTCTCAGACCTTAAGGTAAAAGGAACATGTATCAAAGGACTTATGGGCCTGAAATTTTGATACCTGGCTCCATGTGAGTGTGATGAAAAACAGCAGTTTGCCAGCATGGGCATACTGGCCACTGTATTTGATGATATGGGTGCATGTCTCTGATGTAATGTAGTCTGACCACCCTTCGTCACAGTAAGCTGCTAACCAGGAGCTACTGTACAGTTCATTTAGTTACAGTGAGTCTGTTATATGTGAGAATGGCGCTTAACTGGATACAGAAATATACTTTACAGTGCAACCCTAAGCAGAGTTACATGTTCATCGTCCTGGTTCCTGTGCAGTCACAGCTGGATACTGCTGAACGCTCAGGCCTGCCGTGGAGAGGATTTTTTGAAGCTCAGAATACCTAGAGACATGCTGTTCCCCTTTCCCTCTCTGTTTTCCATCTTTTCCAGTGTGAAGTAGAGGGAGCGGAGCATCCTTCCCTCAGTTCTCTCTCTGGTCTTCCAGTGGTCCCGAGACTGAACTCAGCCACTCTGGACCCAATTGAGGCTACAGGGAAGACCATGAGTTTGGTCTCTGTGTTCCTGGAGCACAGCATTAAAAAAAAGGCTCAACATAAACACAAGCACCCAGAAAAGCCTCCCAAACTGAAGTCATCATTCACCCCTTCCTGTCCTCATAATAAAGACTCGATCTCTCACCAGACATCCTTGGAACTGGTCAAAAAGTCAGTCTCCATTCCGAGAATGCCTTCCCCCTCCAGTTGCTAACCCTCCCCCCAATCCCATTTTTATCTCAGAACATGAAGTAAAAGGCTCAGAACCTCATAACTCATGTCATCAACTCCCCTCATCTCACCATTACGATCCACCTCCCCAATTGGTTCCAGAGGATTTGCATTTGACATCATCCAGATCACCATGCCAAGATGTCCATTGTGAGTACTATGACCAGGGCTAGGATCCATATGCTCCTCTCAGTTCAAACCAAGCAGAAGCTGACCCATATCAATAAATGACCCAAACCTTCCACAAGAACCACAGGAAGAGGTCTACTCCTTGGGTGACTTAGCTTTCAACTATGAGCAACCTGTTTTATGAAGACAGAGAGTCAGATTATGCTTCCAAACCCTCATCCAAGGATGTCACGACAGAGCCAGGGGGCCGGGCAAAAAGGGAGAGTCAAAAGGCAAGTCCAAGAGTCAGCCAGAGGGAGCAACTAGAGTCCAAGCAAACAGTTCCAAATACACAGAGCCAAGCCATCGTCAACATTACCAATAGTCAGAGTCCAGTATTGTAGTCAAGAAGCATAGCCGGGGGTCAGGAGCCAGAGGGATCTCCAAAACACGGACTGGATTCAGGACCCTACAGATCAGTCCAGAGCCAACACAGAGCGAGAGGTGCAAAGCGTCTGGTCCACAGATGAGGTTGCCAGTACAGTTTGCTTGCAGCCAGAGGTCTCTTCAAATAGTGTGCTGGCTCGTTATCTTGTTAACATTCCTTTGCAAAGTCCTTGCTTCTGTCAGTAATCAGGGCTTAAGATCATCGTCCCCGCAAGCGTGCCTCCTTGCGCCTGATTCCCAGATCCCAGCGTCTCTGGTTTCTCAACCGGTCTACAGGTGGCGGTGAGTCGGGTGGCGAGCTGCTAGGGCCAGGTATTGCCTGACCAGCTTCAGGTGCCAGCTGTCCTGTAGTTTGGTGTTCATCCTCCCCGGCACTTAGGTTTGATGAGGACTCTTGTGCTTCAGAGGTTGTTAAAGGTGCAGAGTCCTCATTTTCCAGGCTCCCAGGTGCCAGGTCGGGGACAGGCATGACAAAGGATATCATGCTGGAACTGTCCATAAATTCAACTAATATGAAGATTACACAAGGGAAAAACAACGGCATCCAGCATTCAGCCCTATTAAAAGAGAGGGCCATAAACTAGACGGAATAGGCAGAAAAAATTATGCCTCCTCTATTCTTGGCTTCAAGATTGCAAAGTATCCTTGTATTGTGGCCTGCTGTCAGCTCTTCCTTTGGGATGGCATTGCCAGGTATTTTTGCATGCTAGGGAAGGACACATGGCACCCCCCGTGCACCCACCAATTTCTGGCACCCCCCCTTCTGGCACCCCCGCAGCCTCCCACCCTCCCAGCAGCCCCACTTGGGCACCTCTTTCAGAGGTCAGCCCCGAGGAAACCCACCTACACGGTCGCCACTGGAGAGGTCACCGCCAGAGACCCGCCCACAAGGGATACCCCCCTGGCCCCAGCACCTGCCCATCCAGGCTCATGAGCTCTCCAGCCCTGCCAGCAGCCACCTGCACCGGCTTGCCGCAGCGCCTTGCCAGCTGCCCGGCGGGCCCCTGAAGCCCAGCCATGCTCACCTCAGCCACCGCTGCTGTGCAGGATAGGAGCCTCCACCACCACCTCCTCCTCTACCAGGCCCTGCCCCCGGGCCAGCCTCTGAGCATGCACTGAGGGGGGCACCCACAGGCCACGCAGCTCAACCGGGGCACAGAGAGTTGGAGCCGGAGGGGGACAGAGGCCGGCCGGGGCACAGAGGGAGGAGGAGGTGCGCTTTCCTGCAGCCGGGGAGTCCGTGGCGGATTGCGGGCCGGCGCCTTCGTCGGGCTAGTGCCCTAGGCAAAGATCAACATTTTGTCAATGATGGGCCCGCATTGCACCCTAGGGCCCCAGGGCTGGGCATTGCACGCTATCTAGAGATGTCTCCTGAAGACAAACATAAGCCGGCAAAGTTGTTAGAAGCATCAGTGCTGTCCAGACACCAGATCTCACAGCCAAACATTCAGTGGATTGCTCAACTCACAGTCTAGCAGTCACATACAATCATAATTTCTGGCTCAGGTCCACTACACGTCCACAGGAAACCTACAGCAGAATTGAAGACCTACCTTTCAAGAGCAAAGACCTATTCAGTGGTCATACTGATGAAGTACTTAAAAAGATGCGGAAGGACAAGCTCATGACTAAGATCTTAGGGGTGATTCTCTCTACTCCATGTACTCATAAACCTAGGCCTTTTCTTCAGAACCCATTACTCTGCATCCAGAGGAAGAGGTCACCTGATGCTTCATTCATATTCCAGAAGGCCTCCCTATATATACCTGCCAGTCAAATCCTTCTCCACTCTGAAGCCAGGCCTCAGCCGCGCAGACTCCATCAACCTGCAAACCAGGGCTTTTGACAATTACAGTTCATGCCTGGCATATCAAAGAACAGAGGAACTGGGTACTTAGCATCATTACAGAAGGGCATGCCATAGAATTTGCCTCTCTCGGAATGTACTCCCTTGTGTCATCCAACTTTCCTGTTCCCTTTCCAGAACTCCTTGAAAAAGTCGACACCCTCCTCAGCAACAAAGCAATCACAGAAGTGCCTGCAAAAGATCAGCACTCAGGGTTCTGCTCCAGGCTAAATACACTCCTTTGCCAGAAGTCATGTTTCTAGCCCATCATCCTAGTCCAAGGGCCGCTAGGGCTAATGGCCTCCACTATGTCGGTGGTACCTCATGCAAAGCTATACATGGACCCACTTCAGTTGTGGTTCATCAGAGTTTTCAACCCCATTGTCACCACCAATCCAAAAAATTGATCATCCCGAGGCAAGTGGTACAGTCCATGCACAGGTGGACTCTAGTGACCAACCTCCTAACAGGGACTCCTTTCCATCCTCCCCATACCACAGACTGTCTTAACTACAGACACTTCCCTGTCAGGCTGGGATACATACATCAAAAAGTGTCAGTCAGTGGAACCTGGTCCTCCCAGGAAGCCCTCCTCTACATCAATGTACTAGAATTCAAGCTGTGTACAAAAGTCTGTTGGCCTTACACATGGCATGCCTCTGGCAAAAATGTCCAAATGGCCATGTCCCATGGCCACTACATTCCCCTAATGCAGGAACACAACCACTGACCTGCGGATTCAATTATTGGAGTACCTGCAGGAACACAGCCACCTTCTGCAGGGTCCATTCCTACACCCAAACATTGGTAGCCTGCATTTAACATCATGGCTCATCCAGTGACAATTCTCCAGACCTGTCAAAGAATGCTAGAAAACCATCCACCTAGCATTCCTTATTTGATCAAATGGAATATTTTTGTACAGAAGCCATGGAGCAGGGGCCTAGACCCAGTCCACTGCCCGATAGTGTTTTCAACTACCTCCTAATCCTAGTCCAAGGAGGCCTTTCTTTTGACCCAGAATCTGCCACCTAAAGTGAAGAAGAAGAAGAGAAGAGATTGGATTTATACCCCGCCCTTCACTACCCAAAGGTGTCTCAGAGCAGCTTACAAACTCCTTTCCATTCCCCTCCCCACAACAGACAGCCTGTGAGGTAGGTGGGGCTGAGAGAGCTTTGACAGAAACTGCTCTTTTTTCAAGAACAGCTCTTATCTTACTACGACTTGCCCAAGGTCATCCAGCCAGGTGCAAGTGGCAGAGTGGGGAATCAGACCCGGTTTTAGGTACAGAAGAAGATGCAGGGAAATAGTATTATGCGAGTTAGAATGAACTGTAGGTTTTGAGTGAGATTATGAGTATTTATAAGTTATGGGGAAGTTGGATGGGATTCATAAACGGGTAAGATAGGGGTATAGGAAAAGAGGAGGGACTAGAAGAGTGAAAAAATTTTGGTTGTAATAGTAACCTCAGATGGATTTTTTTTTTGTTTCGCGATTGTTAAAAATGGAAAATGAGGATATTGATAAGATGAATAATGAATTTATGTTTGTGTTTTGACTGATATACTTAATAAAAAATGTAAATTCAAAAAAAACAACCTGGTTCTCCCAGATCAGAGTCTGCACACTTAACCACTACACCAAACTCATTCCTCATTCACCTTAATGGCAGGACCAGTCTTAATAGCAGTTTGTTTTGGCATGACTGCTAAGTGCATCCTGCTGGTGCATGTCTCATGGTTCAAATTCAAATGAGATTTTTCTTTTCTTGCAGATATATGATGAAATAGAAATCTTTCCTTTAAGTGTCTACCACGTGCATCTTACTAAGAATGAAGGTGTAACTGATTTTGGTAAGCCTGCATTTTTCCAAAGTGCATCTCTCTCACTCACTTTATTGACCTTCTGTCTTTTTCTTTCTTGGTTTCTCTTGTCAGGAATTTTAAATTGGTTTACAGGTGGCAAATGGGTTAGGTTCATTTGGTAGCCAAATTGCCTTACTTTCTTAATTAATATCGGGGAAATTATGATTATTAATTGGCAATAGGCAAATTAGGGAGTGAACACCGTTGTATACAGAAGTCCCGCCTTTACTGTAGTCACCGGAATAGACACGGAGACTGTAATTGGTAAAATATAATGTCTTTTACTGGAGGAAATATATCTTTCAAACAATACACAAGCACGCACACACTTATACAGATTTGAGGAAATAAAGATAGATAATAAGCACATTTGCATTAGCAGGATATTCGTTGATTGGGCAATAGTTACCTGTCCTCGTTGATTGAGCCGTTCCAATGGAAGAGTGGAGGGGTTAAGAGTAGAAAATGGGAAACACGTGTTCTGAACTGGCAGAACCACGTGGACTCTAGCTGCAGATCTAGAGTTTAAAGATGGAGATAGGGTAGTTGGATAGCAAGCTGGAAATAAGAGGGTCAAAGCTTCGATAGGGGTCGTGGAGAGGAGAAAGAGAGAGACCATGTGGTCGGGTAGCACCTTTTATAATGTGGTGTGGGGGGGCAGGCTAGGTTGGCCACATCCCCCTGTGACACCTCCTGTTAGTCCGTCCCATAAAACATATTATTGGGTGGAAGTAAAGGGGGAGAAGAGCTAGGGGTTGGTCAATATTGAGAGCTAGCAACTTAATCTGGGGACTGGCACCTGCATGAAGAATGATTGAATCATTGGGCTAGGGCTATTGTCTCTTGATGGCCCTAGCCGCGAACGATTAGTTGCCAAGCAACTGCAGGGAGAATCTGCTGGAGGAGGGGGAAAGTGGTTGCTTATGTGTGCCAAATGGAGCTCCTAATGGCGTTTGGAGCTTTCTGTCCTCATGCTTGGGCATGGCATGGCATTATGCAGACAAAGGAACTGGGTCATCTCACATCAGGTAAGAGGGCAGGTAAGCTTGAAAGAGCCCCTTGAGCATCAACGCAAAGGAAGGTTTTTCTTCTCTGAGGTGTGCAGTCTCAACTGGCATCATATGGGGTCACCTTGCAGTACAGTCCCTTCATCATATCTTATGGTTCATAAGAGCACATTAAGTGCCTTGCTGGGCAACACATTGCCTGATCTCAAACACACACACAGAGAGAGAGAGAGACAGAGACAGAGAGAGACTGGATTCCCCCCCTCTGGTTATGTCTATGTGATTGTTTAATTGTGTACAGAAGCTTCCTATTTAGATGTGGGGGATCTCTCAAACTTTTCTTTATAGCTTCACAGTGCTTTTTGGAAATTTGTTTGCCGGAGGCAAAAGTCATGAGAAGTGATTTCCAGCACCTTTCAGTAGCTTGCTGTCTTGTGTGATTTTTTCCCCTGATCCGCATGGTTCTTGCTAATCCAGGTATCACCTATCTATATGAGGAACATCCATGTTGGCCAGTACCTTTTGCTGGTTATGACTGGCCACAGCTCTATTTGGCTGCTTTATCGCATATGAACTACACAACGTATTAATGAGATTTAAGAGCAATGTCTTAGTAGTAATATAAAACGGGAATTTTTCCATAATGAAGCAATCATGAAGCATTGTCAAATGTGCAATTATTTGTGTATATATGTGTGTGTGTGTGTATGAATATATAAAGACTTTTTTAAGGACACACAAAAATTGAAACAGCATTTTTTTGCTAGGATTTGCAGTCACTGCACAAGTTGATGAACACCAACATCTAACCCAGATATTTGTAAGTGATGTTCTTCCTGATGGGATGGCTTTCAAAGAAGGTATGTGTTAGTTCTTTTCCTCTGGTGTTGTCTTCTAAAGATGCAAATGTTGCACTGGACAAAGAGCAAATTCCTCTGTGAATTCCTGACTCGTGCCAGTGTTTATCCCAGATCACCAGATTTGTCGTTGGTGTTTCTATTTGGCATCCTTAACAACATGACAAGTTTTCCCTATGCTGGCGTTAGTGCTATGTCTGTTTTGCAGAGTGTGTTGTCATTGAGAATCTGTGGCTGGTAGTGTCTCTCTCCAAATGTCTGGATACTTTACAAGTAGAGGTTTTCATACATGACAGTGCACACCGGGATTGGGAAAATGTGCCCTTTAGCATTTTCAAAATAATGCACTTTTGTATATTCTAGTTTGGTAGCTATTTCTTGCGTTAATTTGATGTTGAATCATTTTTATTTTAATCATTGTCTCTTTTATGTCTCCCTTGCTTTTTGCAATGGATTCTTCTTTTTTTAGATGTTCTGACAATTTTTTGAACTTTTCCCTCTTTTGCTTTTTCCTCCATATCTCTTGTGTAGTAAATAGACCTCTCATATATGCTTTCAGAGTATCCCATACTGTACTTAGTGGCATATCTTCTGTTTTGTTTATTTTTATGAATTTTTTCACCTCTAATTTGAGTTTTGTAACAAAATTTTTGTCCCTTAGCAAGTCCAGTATGTAACCTCCATCTTGAATTTCTGCCAACTCTCGCCCCTCCTCGCGCTGCCTAAACGAGCCCGTCGCCTCCACGCCAGCCAGGACGGACTTGCTCGCCCCCCTGGGAAGTCCCACGTGTCCGACAGGCAGCCGCCCCTATGTGGCGCTGGGGTCCTTCTGACTGGAGGAGCCCTGCTCATGAGTCTCCCTCCTCCTCCTCCTCCTCGGTTCCTCCACCACCGCTCCCAGTGTCCAGCTTGGCACCCTAAGGGCTGGCCCGTGCTATAGGCAAATGCCTAGTTCACCTAGCGGATGAGCCGGCCCTGCACAAAACTCATTTTGATAGCAGTAGACTAAGATGGCTACACCATCCTATTTTCATGGTTCATCTTAAAACAAAAAAATTTCTAGTTGGCAGATGTGAACCCTGACAAAGCTGTAGTCCTAAGAACACTATCTTGGGAATAATGTTTAATAAATTGGGACTTACTTTAGACTAGACCAAAAGTGTATGTTTGGATTCCCCCTTTCCTCAAAGTGCATTCTTTGAACGCCAGATGATACTGTAAGGAAATTGTTTGAACAATTAAATTGCAGTGTGGCATGATGATGAACCTTGACTTAGTGCATGTGTTATGTGCCATCAAGTCACTTCTGACTTATAGTGACCCTATGAATCAATGACCTCCAAAGCATCCAGTTATTAACAGCCTTCTGGTATAGTGCCGACTAAGTCTTTTTTGTTTTCTCTTTTCTCATATTCCCAGGGTTGCGTGTGGGCAATGAAATCTTGACTATAAATGGAAAATCTGTATCTGATCTTGACCTTAGACAGATGGAGCTATTGTTCTCTGAGAAAAGTGTAACTCTCACTTTGAGTACAAGTCACAATGGCAATAAAAGTGCATTATGTACTTCGTGGTCAGATGCTGAGATTTCCAAGGAAGCAAGAAGCTTGTTGCCCCCTCCAAACCAGTCACAACTCCTGGAGGAATTTCTGGATAACTTCAAAAAGAGTACTACAAATGGTGAGATGCTGCTGGTGATTAATGTTTTTGTTCTTTATTCTGGTAGAGCTGTTTGCTTTCGGACTATAAACGTTTCACAGAGAGAGAGATAGTAATTTTCTACATGTAAAAATAAATAAGAGTGATTATTTTAACAGGGAATCTCTTTAAAGCATTGAAATAAAAGTATTAATGCTTCTTTCTGAAATCAAAATATTAAAATGAATTGTGAAAGTTATCAAGCCAGTTTCTGTCAGAAAGTATCCTGTACTCTCAAAAAGTCACATATCTCAAATGCCTGTAGATGGTTTAATATAAATGGTCTTGAATAGAATATCTACTGAGCTTTTTAAAAATGTTGTTGACTAGAATGATTTGCCAAGTTGCCACATAGGTAAGCAGCCCTCTAAACTCTTGGGATAAATTCATGTAAAACATTTGCCAGTGTTATGCAATGGATAACATACTGAGGAAAGACTGTGTTTTATAAGCAAAATATGGTTCATTTAATATGTTGTCGACACAATGCACTTTGCCATTAGAGACGCAAGCTACAGAGGTGCCTCTCTGCACAATTAACTGTGGGATGAAAAAGCAACCATGTGATTCATAAGGAGTTGAACTATGCAAGCAAAGCTGGTTTAAAAAATCAGATCTGCATACATGTATTTAACTCAGCCTATGTGGATTCAATTTTCATTATATAGCCAGCCGTGTGGGAATGACACTAGTTTAGCTGGGTTCCCTAACAGCAGCCAAGCTGCTGGGGTAGCATTTGGATTAGTCCTCCCATACTATAGGTTTACAAGATTATGCATTGGGTAGAGCAGTTAGAGAAAGATGTACTTTTCTCCCTTTCTCACAATACAAGAACTCGTGGGCACTCCATGAAATTGCTGAGCAGTCGGGTTAGAACGGATAAAAGGGAGTACTTCTTCACCCAAAGAGTGATTAACACATGATTCAGTGATTCATGATTCCAGTGATTCACTGCCACAGGAGGTGGTGGCGGCTACAAGCATGGACGGCTTCAAGTGGGAATTGGATAAGCATATGGAGCAGAGATCCATCAGTGGCTGTTAGCCACAAGGTATAGATAGGAACTCACAGGCTGGGGCAAGTCATGCTCTGTATTCTTGGTGCTTGGGGGGGGGTCAACAGTGGGAGGGCTTCTAGTGTCTTGGCCCCACTGGTGGAGCTTCTGATGGCACCTGGCACCTGATGGCCACTGTGTGACAGAGTGTTGGACTGGGTGGGCCAGTGGCCTGATCCAACACTGGTTTCTCTTATGTTCTTATAGGTAAGCTTACTGATCCTAAACATAGCTGCTTGGAAGTCAGCTTCATTGAGATCAGTGTGTCTTGCTTCCATGTAAATGGTTTAGGATTGAACATTGAACTTATATTTGGCCCTCCTTCCGTGAACAGCATTTGGAATCTTAGTTACTCCTTCTTTAAAAAGATAGTGAAGGAATGGTTTGTTTGGGACAGTAATGTGATAAAGGATATTTACATCATTTTTCAAAGGGTATTGTAAGTTATGAAGAACAGGGGCATAAGCTTTGGAAAATAATAGACATCAATTTGTCATGCTGACTCCATCCTGCCCTGTAAATATGGTAGGGTGGGTTGCGGGTAAATGCAACACATTTGTAAACCATGAGAGCTAGAAACTAAGCTTTTCTCTGGAACAAAAGCTGAAGTTGCAAGATTTGTGACTGTCGCCAGATTTTATACAATGGACTGGCCTATGCCAGTTTCAACATAAAGTATTTTTGGTGAGACTTGTAGAATATATCTCATTGCTTCCCTGGACACTAACCGTACCATCTTTAGCAGAGTTACATTGCTCCCACTGATGTCAATTGGCTTAGAAAGGTGTAACACTGTAAATCACTTCCCCAAAGGACTGTACAGTGCACTGTTCCCCCCACACACTATGGGAGAGTGTTCAGCATGCGCACAGGCTCTTTGCTTAACGTCAGAGATTAAAGATACTACTATTAAAAATGATTTGGCACTGATTACAAGAATAATTAAGTGACATCACATTGTCTCCGACTTACAACAACCTGGCATGGGGGTTTTCAAGGCAAGAGAGGAGCAAAGGTTGCCATCGCCTTTTTTTACATAGTCTTCCTTAGTGGTCTCCCGCAAGTACTAATTGTGGCTGACCCTGCTTAGCTTTCAAGTTCCAACAAACTCAAACTAGTCAGGGCTGTTCAGGCTGCTCTTGGCATCTACTGGATAGTGCTGAATCCGTAGGACCACTTGGTTCTTCTCCATGGATCCACAGTTTTGTAAACATTTAATTAATGTTATTGTATTTATTTTCAACAGGGACTGATCACTAACCTGTCTAGCTTGAACAGTAGAAATGCCATTCACAAGCTACCTGGGCATTAAATGTTTAAAGAACATTGAACTGCTGACATTTGGTATTAGTATTACACATCTAAAGTGGGGGAAATCTGCATTTAAATTGTTTGAAGATTTAAGCATGCTGTTCATATGAAAAGTGACTTGCGTTAGGTTAAAGAAACCTACAGTTGTCAAATGCCATCACGATCCCTGTAGTAAAGTATTCTGAGTTACTGAACAACCCATGAGTCATTGCTTACCTCCATTTCTGTCAGTATCACAGAAAGCAAGTAAAGGGAATGTGACTCATGATTGCCAAGAAGAACCCCAGCCATGGAGTTTTCAAGGCAAGAGATGGGCAGAAGTAGTTTGCCATTGTCTTCCTCCATATAGCAAACCCAGTCTTCCTTGGTGGTCTGGACTAGATAGACCATTGGTCTAATCCAGCATATTCTCCTCTCATGTTCTTATGGACTGAATGTACAAAAACCTAGATGTGTAGTCTGTACAGAGTGATATCACTCATCTGTGTCAAGTAGTCAGGAAATTTTTTTTACCATGTTTTCAGTACATATTGTCAGGGTTCAATAGTCAGATCACACTACACAGCGCTTCATAAGAAGCATTCTGTTTATTGGTAGTTCATAACTATGACACGTGAACGTTTTTTGTCAGGAATGGACCAAAGCAGCAGGGCACCCAAAGTTATAGTAGTTTCAAAACACCCCTCATTACAAGCAGAAGCCAACAAGCATTGTGCATTGTGTGCGCGCACGGGGGAGAAAAGAGAATGGGCAAAATAGGAGCCGTTTGTTCCCAGCAGGTCAGGAGCAGCTGGAACTCCCAAGGTCAGAAAAGCATAAGCAGATAACAACCCAGACAGGAGACATCGTTAGTGTACCAGGCTGAGGAGAGGAGGATCACCCCCCCACACACACATTCCGGGGAAATGGCAGTGTTAACTGACACATATATGTCATAAAATGGTGATTAAATATCTGCAAAGGATGTCTACATAACATGGATAAAATATCTGCATTCTTTCCCTTAGCCTAACCCACCTCACAGAGTTATGGGGGGGACGGGAGGTGGGATAGGATAATTCCACCCATGTGTGGATGTATGAGAAACAAATATTTTTCACTCCCAGACCTTGGGCTGCCTCATGAGTAGAACTAAGAAGATAGGAGTATGTAGAGAGAAATGTGATCATTTGAATGAGCTAGAAACCAGCCTTTTTCCAGGTGATTTCAAACTGTGCTTGAAGCTATTGTTTTTTGTATTCACAGCTTCCTATGTCTTTCCCTGCCACCATCTGTCAGGCATTTTTAAATATAAAACACTTTACTTATATAAGATAGTTGGTAAAGCAAACCCTACCTTTCTGCTTGATAGGAACACGCATGACATTATCTTAAAGATCACTTGCAGTGGAAGGATATGGCTTTTTAAAAATTTGCTTCCACATCTTTGACTTAAATACCTTTTGCTAGATCTTTTTTCATCTTTTACATCTCCTCAACTTGTGTGGAGCGATGTCAACAAGTTTCTGCACCTTGAATTCAGAATGTGCCGTACAGTTTTCATTTTCCCTGGGCACATCCCAGCGCTGGGACCAAGGGAACAAACATGGACTTGCACTGTCCAGTGTGGACAGTGAGCTCAATAATGGGTGGGCTAGCATGATTAGCCCTTTGTCAGTGCTGCTGTTTCAGCAGTCATGACACAGGCAGTATGTGGCTGGGCCAAACCAGGAGAAGCCATCAGCTAAACCAGTCACCTTGTTACTGGGACTTCACATCTTTGAATGAAAGTCTTACCTTTGCAATTGTCAAAGTTGGCCTTCCTTCCTAGGTAAACAGTGCCAACCCTGCCCTGCCCTGGATAGCCCAGGCTAGTCTGATCTTGTCAGATCTTGAAAGCTAAGCAGGGTAGGCCCTGGCTGGTTTTTGGATGGGTGACCTCCAAGAAATACCAGGGTTGTGACACAGAGGCAGGCAAAGGCAAGCCACCTCTAAAATGTCTCTTGCCTCAAAAACAAGTCTAGCTTGCCACCTAGTGGTACATAGAAGACTCAAGGCTTCCTCAAAAGTGAAAAAATGACCCTGGAGCTCATTAAGAGAGACTTTTTGCAGCATTCATTGGTGAAATTTGGATAACTATTTTGGTATTTGGGAACCTTGTGCTTGGAAATATCTGTTGAACTCCCTGAGGAAGACACTGAAACAGGAGGATATCTGGACCTCTGTTGGAGGAAGACTGAACACTAATTCTAAATAGACTTAAAGGAGTCCTATCCCTTAAAACCTTTGTATTATTAAGGAGGACTGGTATTAATAAAGGGGTTGTGCAATATCTTTTGTGATATATAAAGAGACGATACTCAGATGTTTGGATATATGATTCTTTCTATGTATTAATGTGTATATAATAATTAATATAATTGTGAATAATGTGTAAGAAAGATATATATATAGGTAAAGGTTCCCTTGCTCGAAAGCCAGTCGAATCCGACTCTAGGGTTGCGGTGCTCATCTCCGTTTCAAAGCCGAAGAGCCAGCGCTGTCCGAAGACGTCTCCGTGGTCATGTGGCCGGCATGACTAAACACCAAGGCGCACGGAACGCTGTTACCTTCCCACTGAAGTGGTCCCTATTTATCT